TTGTCAAACATACCTCCCCACTGGCCCCTGCTAGGTGATCAGACCCTGTCAAACATACCTGCTTCCTCTGATCTTGTCAAACATACCTCCCCACTGGCCCCTGCTAGGTGATCAGACCCTGTCAAACATACCTCCCACCTAGATCTTGTCAAACATACCTCCCACTGGCCCCTGCTAGGTGATCAGATCCTGTCAAACATACCTTCCACCTAGAACCTGTCAAACATACCTGCTTCCTCTGATCTTGTCAAACATACCTCCCCACTGGCCCCTGCTAGGTGATCAGACCCTGTTAAACATACCTGCTTCCTCTGATCTTGTCAAACATACCTCCCCACCGGCCCCTGCTAGGTGATCAGACCCTGTCAAACATACCTCCCACCTAGAACCTGTCAAACATACCTCCCCACCGGCCCCTGCTAGGTGATCAGACCCTGTCAAACATACCTGCTTCCTCTGATCTTGTCAAACATACCTCCCCACCGGCCCCTGCTAGGTGATCAGACCCTGTCAAACATACCTCCCACCTAGAACCTGTCAAACATACCTCCCCACCGGCCCCTGCTAGGTGCTCAGACCCTGTCAAACATACCTGCTTCCTCTGATCTTGTCAAACATACCTCCCCAGCGGCCCCTACTAGGTGATCAGACCCTGTCAAACATACCTTCCACCTAGAACCTGTCAAACATACCTCCCCACCGGCCCCTGCTAGGTGCTCAGACCCTGTCAAACATACCTGCTTCCTCTGATCTTGTCAAACATACCTCCCCACCGGCCCCTGCTAGGTGATCAGACCCTGTCAAACATACCTCCCACCTAGATCTTGTCAAACATACCTCCCACTGGCCCCTGCTAGGTGATCAGACCCTGTCAAACATACCTCCCACTGGCCCCTGCTAGGTGATCAGACCCCGTCGGAGGGCAGAACCCTGCTTTATCAAGTCCACTGCTTCACCCCACCAACAGGCTATCTCTGGTTAAAAGGTACACAGATTAGAATGAGAGGTGGTCTTTTTGCCATTGTGTACAGGTTTTACAAATGATCGTTTAGTGTTCTCCACCAGGTGAGCGGGGACTGGGATGAGGGGAACTAGGTTAGTGTTCCCCCTCAGTTTTCTGTTTGATGTTATGAAATGTTTCCCGACTTGTCGGTGTCCTGGGTACTTGTCTCCTGTCTGCCAGGTGATGTGAGCATGATGTTTGTGTAGTTGTACACGACAGGTGATGGTGCGGATGAGGCCACACAGGGTGGAGTTAATCTCCTCTCTCCCCCCTCCCCCCATCAAAACATTAACTTACTGGTGACATAACTCATCATTTCACTTGCTACCCAGACAAATTCATTTTAAAAAAAAATTGTCCTGATATATTTTTAGTTGGTTGTATTTTTACCTTATTTGTGTGTATTGAAATACAAAATAAAATTTCACTCATCATTTCACTTGCTACCCAGACAAATTCATTTTTAAAAAAAATGTCCTAATATATTTTTAGTTGGTTGTATTTTTACCTTATTTGTGTGTATTGAAATACGAAATAAAATTTCACTCATCATTTCACTTGCTACCCAGACAAATTATTTATTTTTTTAAATTGTCCTGATATATTTTTAGTTGGTTGTATCTTTACCTTATTTGTGTATATTGAAATGCGAAATAAAATTATAGTGTTTTTATAATTGACAAGGGGGAGAGGGGGTTTAGCAAACTGACATGGGTTTGAGGGTATTATTATAACCATACACAACTAGTTAAATTTGTTGTTTGAGATCAAGCGATAGAGATCAAACAAATGTTTACAACATTGTTAAGACTGAAATGTTTTTGGTAATAGTTACCAGTCAATTATACACCCCTTATACACACCACTGTGTCATCTGTAAAAACTCTAGTTTAAAAAAAACCATTAGTGTTTAGTACAGGGCTCTTATAAGATTACATACAGACTAATGTAAAAGTTATAGTCAGGGGGCGCTTATTGAAACAAACAAGAAAGAACAAGAAATAAACATACCAAAGGGCCCACTGTTTTTATCATCACTCACTTTATGATAAATTGGAACATAGAACATCTTCTTTTGTTTAGAATTTAGACAAATAAGAAATATTATTTCAATTTATGTTTCATTTGCATTAGATCTTAAATGTTGATGAAATCATTACTTAATAACAACATCTGAACTTGAACAATAAATCAAAGGAAACTTAAAAAGACGAAGTTGCGACTAACTTCTTGTTGGTTTTATTCCTCCATCATACTACATACTCAACGACAGGCATGAGAGGCCACCAGTCCAGTCTGACGGCATGGCCAACTTTTGCCAGACTGGTTTCCAGCTTTCTCTAAGTTTGTTTGTTGTTTAAAGCCACACTCGGCAATATCCTAGCTACATGATGTCGGAGTGTGCATTACTGAGTCTGGACCCGACAAACCAATGATTGACATCATGAGCATTGATCTATGCGATTGAGACACGATGACATGCATCAACAAAGTCAGTGAACCTGACCACCCGATCCGGTTACTCAATTCTTATTACTAAAGACCAATTCTAACCCATTTCCTTAAACACTGAACATAAAATTACAAAACAATTCCTAAAATCATCCAAACTGAACGCTAGGGATGAGATGACTCCACACCCTGCTACACTGACAAGGTATGGATGTCATCTGTGGGATGACTCCTACCCTCCTACACTGACAAGGAAAGGATGTCATCTGTGGGATGACTCCACACCCTGTTACACTGACAAGGTAAGGATGTCATCTGTGGGATGACTCCATACCCTGCTACATATGCAATTATGGGAGTGTTATTACTCTTGACCTTTCAGTCTTGACAGGTAGTATTCATCAATATTTCACAGCCAAACATTTGTTGGCACAACCGATCGACAAAGCCTACTACTTTCAGTGGCCAATTACAAGGGGAGGTAACTCACTGGTTCATTCATCGTTTGAAATCTGATTCATTTCTAACCACCTCCCAGCTACCTAATTGCCTCAAGACAGTTGTTAAGGTATTAATTTTAAAACCTGACTCCCCAAAATGAAAACCTTAAGTGACAAACTATTGTGTAAATCCTCCATTTTGACCTGTGTGTCAACCCGTCAATGGAAATCATCCATCGTTGTGCAGGAAAGAATCTACTTAAATCGATATAAAGGAATAGCTCCGCTTAGCCTCAACCCCGAGGGTTCAAATTATAAACCATGGCTGCTTTGGGAAAGCAATAATGTATTCTGTCATGAAATGTTGTTATGTTGTAGTTGCCAGGGATAACATGCCTAGTACATAGATATCAACCTGTGGTCAGAGTGAGTGAGTGAGTGAGTGAGTGAGTGAGGGGGCAGCTAGTACCTAACACAGCATCATATGTTCATTATAACTCTCTCTCTCTTCCACTCTCTCTCACTCTCTCTCTCTCTCTCTTTCTCTTTCCCCTCCCTCTCTCTTTATCGACCCCCTCTCTCTCACTCTCTTCCTCTCTCTCACCTTTATCTCTTCCTCCCTCTCTCTCTCTCTCTCTCTCTCTCTCTCTCTCTCTCTGTTGCATTTTCTTTATCATTCATTTACATATTGACACTCCAGGCCCTTTTTACAATTAATTAATTAGAACAGAGAGATCAGCAAACTAGGAAATAGAATTGATCTGTTTTACTTTCTTCATTTGAAGATAATAAGGTCAAGTGTTGTTCTCTTCTTGAGTTTTACACCTTAAGCTTAGTGCCGGACCAGAGACTATTTACTCTAGCCCTGATAATGCATTCAATAAAATATCAAAAAGCTACCACAATAAACTGTTACAATGAACGCTAGTTACAATTCAACTCACATAACATTTACCCTTGTCCGGGGCCATTATGTTATCTTTGTGAACACTGAACATGTGTTTGAGTGCACTCACAGTTGATATAGTTACAAGTGATTGTTCAACCCATGAGTGGGGCCCATATTTCCTTATTATGAGCCCTTATCAAGCACAATAATGGTGTCACTCAACGTTGCTCTGACAAAGCTGATACAAAGGGAGTATCATGTACTTCTGTTCTCGCCTAGCCCGTCACACGCCCAGGACGATTCTCTTTAAAATCACATAAATCAAAGATTAAACTCTAAGATGTCTCCATCTTCACAGCCTGTTGTCTCCCTATATCCATTTATATCCTCCTCATTGGTTTGGGTTTTGCTTGTGAAAATTGTTGGTTGAAATGCATCATATTTCAAAGGGTTCTATGAGGTATCGGTCACCCTCTGGCCCTGATGGTAACCAGTTTCAATTGATGGTTATGCCTGTTAACAGTACGACATCAAATGCTCGATGTTGTGAAAAAAGACTTTCAATGGCTATTATTCACCCTTTATTATATTTTGGGGCAAGAGTTAAAATTGAATACATGACACTTTTTTTATTGATAATTTCTTTATCCCGAAAAAAAATGTCATGTATTCAGTTACAAAGAATAAAGAAGTTGCTTTACATGAAAAAGTGCCATGTATTCATGTTCTTCCAACTTCTAAATGCCTATCAAAGGTTTTAGATTTAGTATTGTATAGAATTTTGAATTGGTGAATTGTTACAAACCAAAGACTTTAATCAAGCATACAATGTATATAGTTAAACAAATTCATATTCAGATTATATATATATAGTTCCTTGATAAACAAAAATGTTAATAAAATAATTTAGAAGTTTTATATTATTATTTTAAGTATTGTATATCAGTGAAGGGAAAACTGATAAACTTAGTTTTTGTGATGCCGCAATCATATTCTTTGATGCTCTTACCATAGTAAAAAATACATACACTGAACAGGTGTGTCTATCCTAGACTATATAAACACGTTTCTTCACTGAATGTTAAGTCAAGTGTGAAGAAACAAGATAAGCAGATGAATCTAATCTCGTGTGTATCAATGACATATCTGACAAACCCATCGTTCCATGCATTAACATATACACCTGTTTCTAAACGAATCATTAAGTGCAACTCACCTGTCCTTTTCCTGCACCTGCTCCATGTCTGCGACTTGGCGCTGCAGCTTGAGCAGCACTGAGTATAATCCTGCCCTGGGGGGTGGGGGAGAGGCGAGGGGGGCTTGGGACATCTCCACCCCCTCTCCCTGCCCTAGTCCCAGCACCCCCAGCACCAACACAAATGGCCAAGTCCACATACCCTTCATGTCCATCACACACAAGTGTAAAGCAAAAAAATATGACATGAGTGGAAACAAAACTGTTTAGCTGATCTGATGGAGTAAGGGAAGATGGAAACTAATGCGTTTCTCCATAGCCTGTGGGTGTTTGTAATTGGCCACTTGAATGATGCTGGGACGATTTCGCAGCAGCCCATAGGGAGGCTCTCGTGCACTGTCAAGCAACCACAGAGAACACTCCAAGTTGTCCTACTAGCAGTGATTATAGGACGGTCTCTCTCACACTTTTATACCAATTGTTTTGTGAGGCCGGTTCACTTTCCTGTGAGGTGTGATCAAGCCTCCCCCTGGAGCCTCTCCCTGCAGCCTCCTCTGTGTTTGTGGGAGTGTTTATATAAGCCATGTGGCATGGTCCTTCAACACATGGCACCGGTAAACTCAATGTCACATCCAATCTTGCTGTTTTCTTCTAATCTCCTACAGTTTGACATGTGCTTTATCCAAAGCCTTTGATTGTATGTTGAGTCATATCAAATATTAAACTTGTTTCAAGGGGAGTAATATATGTATGTTTTATCCTGAAGAATTATATTGCCTCCCCTACAATGATCAGAATAGATTTGGTGTTATTCGTTCTCCTCCTATCAGTGTTACAAGTTGTCTTTGTATGGAGAGTAACATGTGCTGAAGGATCAGCCTGGCACCCCTGTGACACAATGAACTGGCTCAATCTATATATTCTGATTGGGCATTGAGTAAGGGCTATCTCATGTTGTTAGAAATCTGGGGTCATATGTAGTGCTTACACAATGCCTTTCTTCTTCTTCATGATAATGTTACAACAATCCCTGCGAGACCTATGCCAGTGAATAAGCCACCCCATCTACCCTTAACTCAGTTCACTCTCTGGTCTTATCCACCCGTTCTTGTGCAACATCAATAGAACCCTACTTACTGCTATTGTTTTATTCACCCTGTCCACCCCTTCACCCCACCCTGTATCCACCCATTTCACACCCTCACTCACACTTCACACCCTCACTCACACTTCACACCCTCACTCACACTTCACACCCTCACTCACACCTTCTCCTAAACACCCCACCCATCTTATGTTACCCACCTCACACTACCCTCAAATACCCCACGGGGCGGTCAGGTAGCCTAGTGGTTAAAGCGTTCACTTGTCACGCCGAAGACCCGGGTTCGATTCCTGATATGGGTACAATGTGTGAAGCCTATTTCTGGTGTCCCCCACCATGATATTGCTGGAATATTGCTAATAGCGGCATAAAGCCATACTCACTCACTCACTCACTTCAATATCCCACCCTCACCCTCCAATACCCACCCTCACACACTAATACCCACCCTTACACCCCAAAACCCACCCTCACATGCCAATACCCACCCTCAACCACCAATACCCACCCTTACACACCAATACCCACCCTTACACCCCAAAACCCACCCTCACATGCCAATACCCAACCTCACCCTCCAATACCAACCCTCACACACCAATACCCACCCTCAAACACCAATACCCACTCTCACCCTCCAATACCCACCCTCACACACCAATACCCACCCTCACACACTAATACCCACCCTTACACCACAAAACCCACCCTCACATGCCAATACCCACCCTCAACCACCAATACCCACCCTTACACCCCAATACCCACCTTCACACACCAATACCCACCCTCACCCACCAATACCAAACCTTACACACCAATACCTATCCTCACACACCAATACCCACCCTCACCCACCAATACCAAACCTTACACACCAATACCTATCCTCACACACCAATACCCACCCTCACCCTCCAATACCCACCCTCAGCCTCCAGTACCCACCCTCACACACCAATACCCACCCTCACGCACCAATACCCACCCTCACACACCAATAACCACCCTTACACACCAATACCCACCCTCACCCACCAATATCCACCCTCTCACACCAATTCCTACCCTCACCAACCAATATCTAACCTCACCCACCAATACCCACCCTCACCCACCAATATCCACCCTCACACACCAATACCCAGCCTCACACACCAATACCCACCCTCACATACCAATACCCACTTATACCCACCCTCACCCATCAGTACCCACCCTTACACACCAATACCCACCCTTACACACCAGTACCCACCCTTACACACCAGTACCCACCCTCTCACACCAATACCTACCCCCACCCACCAATATCTACCCTCACACACCAATACCCACCCTCACACACCGATACCCAACCATCATACTACCCTGTTTCCCCAACTCCCATACCCTCACCTCCACCCCAACACCCAGCCAACCCTACCCTGACACCCACCCTGAGAGTCCCCCATCCCCCCCACCCCATCCCTCCTTGCCCCCTGTGTGTTGTCATGACTAATCTGACATAAGCACTTAAGTCCTGCTGGTGTGGGGACGGCTTATCTAGTCTCTAGAACATGGTGACAGGCATGTGTGATGGGTTGACTGATTAAAACTAATTAAAAAAGTATTGACATTGTGCCAAAATGTTTGTGCTTTAAAACTCAATTGAATATGTGGGACCCCATACAGATTGTCATTAACAGTGTTGAGCATGCACCTATAATGCCAGCACCACATGTGCACAGCAGGACCCTCACAACTGAGGGTTTCACCAAGATATGCTGTTAAGCTATGCACATTCAGATTTAACATTTACATTTAAAGTTTGAGCCTCATTATACAGATGTAGATATCAATTTACCCTTATCACATTAATTGTTTTTATTGTTGCAATAACACAACTTTGTTTGCCTGAAATGCATGTCAATAAATCCTGTCTTGAAATATAGTCCGAAAAGTTATTTCTTTCTTATGTGGTATGTTAGAAGTCTAAGCAATTCATGTTAACAATACCTTTGAGAAGAAATATTTTAGCTATGGTTTATCATTGTTAAAAGGGGATTAATGATAAACATATATTTGAAACAGAGCTGTGCAGTTTTGAATATCCAATGTCTGTGCAGGTCATGCATGTATGTAGTGTTTGGCAGCTGTTGGCCATGTTGCCTCCTGACTTATGAATTTTCCTTTTGAAAAGAATATTAAACTCAATATCCTACACATGTTAAGGAAAACAGTCTTTGAAAGCCAAGCTGAAATTCACTTTGTTATTTCCGTAGGTTCACACGCACAAATGGTCTCCTCGATTTCATTGTATATCTTCATCAATTCTTGAATATTTTGCTATATTGAAACTACAAGTCTTATGTGATGTATTAAATATCAAATTCAGACATATTTAGAAAAGCTGAAGATTTTTGTGATCCATTTTTAAAGGTATATGTAATGCATCAGCTATAGTTAATAATTTCAAAAGAAAATTTAATATGATTGATTAAAAAAAATAATTAATAGTGTAAATTTCTTTCTTTTCCTCAATAACGTCATGTGAAATCAATTTCCTTTTTAGACACAATTCAATTCACATCACACAAAATAATCTTACATAAGTTGTACTGATATATACAGGTACTGCTTCTGTTTTTTATCTGCTCTGACAAATGGAATTTTGAATATCATATTGTTGTCAAATATCACAACATTTGTGCCTTTATACAGTCTTCTTTATACACTAATATACAGTAACATTTGAAACTGTGACAATATCGCTGATTCAATTTTGTTCATGGTTTGGATTTTAACGCAAATAGCAGCACCTGTGTCATTAAAATATTATATTAAAATCATTGTTGACATATTTATTTTCTTATATAACATAGCAGTAAGTTTTCCACTCAAAAGAAGTTAAGGACCACACAATTCTTTCATATTACTATAGTAAATCTGTCATGATATGACAGATCAACTATCATACATGTAATAGAAAAGAATTAGGTGATCCTTAACTTCTTTTGAGTCGTATATACTCTTGCAATGTAAATATTACTGTTTCTAGTACAATTCTCATATTGTTCAAATTACTTTTTCCATCTTTCACACACATAGAACTTTGAATGTAACAGATTGTAATAAATCAATTTGTAACATTGTATAAAATTATATAGACTGTATTTTTCATGAAAATGTAACTTTAATTCATCAAGTAATTGTATGATTTGGGGAAAGGTTGTCGTTGTTTGTTGTTGTTCGCGTTTTTCAGCTAACTATAGCATATGTCACATGATCAGTGTACACGCTGAAGGCAATACGGTATTTATCCCATATGGGGATATTGCAATTACTCTGCAGATGAGATATGATAATTAGAGAGGAGGGCTGGAATAACAGCCAGCATTCAGGAAATATCTCTGATAAACAGACAACATAAAACATACCCCTGGGCCCATAAAAACGGTTAAGTTTGGATTAAATTCTTTGATTGTGGAATTCCTCAGATACGATGGGCTTGTAGAATTGATTGTGGCGTATCTGAATTGTAAATGATGTAGATAGGTCCACCGTGGCGCTCATAGACCTGGCTTCTATTGTCTTTGATGCATCCCTTATGTCTTCATGCCCAGTATTCTTAGTGCTAAGTCATAATACGGATCTCAGCTGTCCCAGACTTTTGAAGTCATTTGGAATCATTGATTACCGTATTTAGAGATCAACTATTTTATCTCAGTACTGGATCGGGAGGACAGCTAGGGTTGTCAGAGAATATCCCCTGATGTGGGGATGGAAGAGAGGAAATTGTTATGAACCATATTTCCAAAAATATAGAACCTGTTCCTTTTCATAAGTTAGCTTACAACAAAAACATCGGCCTAAAATGTCATGTTTTTTATATATTTCAACTTCAAGATTAGTACTGCTAATAATAAATGAAAACAAAACTCCTAGGGTACACCATCACAGATTGTGATATGATTGTGAAGTAATTTTTTTGTTGGAATAAAGATTTTAGGATTATATACCATATCTTGTGAACAGAGTTGACAAAAGCTCATGGGTCTTTCGTTTCACCTCATTGTCAAACAAAGTCAGCCTCAATGTTTTTGGTAAAAGTGTTTTTATTTTATTCATGGCTTTTTGTTGGTCGGTTTCTTAAACCAACCAAAAATAAGTATCACACCTACTCATACAATAATTTTTACTCATTATATCTTAGGGAATCATTTCAAGAGAAATGGTTTTTAAAATGATTTTCATCATTTTTTTGAAAAAGGTAAAATTGATATCTTTTTAACTGTCACCCCCCAGTTTATTTGCTTTGATCAGATATATATCATTGTTCTCCCTATAAATGTGTCACACAGACCCTGAATGAAATATATCCAATACAGCCCATGCAAGTCTAACAGTTGGCTTGTCTAGATTTCTGCAGTTTCAGGAAATGAAGAGAGTGTCGGGCTCCTTTTCATTGTATTGTATTAAAATAATTTAACAGTATTTTTTTCTGAAAAATATGTTCATTTCAGAGACTAGATGTTCGTCTATCCCTAGTATGTACTTGAGTATTTCCCCTAGCCTTGCTCCAAGGCTGTACTGACAGAAAAGTCCATGGATGTGTAGCAATTTTATCCTCCTAATAGGCAAGTCTAGATACATGTATTTGGACAGTACAAGGACTAAGGACTCCAGGCTCTTATAGGGACAACTTGTTCTTATTATTTACATAATCTAGAACTTATGACTTAAATTAATAATTATTGCCTTAGAGTCTTGTGCAAGTCTATATTCCACCCCCCACCCCTGAATACCTGTCTGTGGTGCTGGAGATGCACAACACCTAACACTGACATGACCTCACAGAATTTTACAAGAAAAATTCAATTCTCTTGTTTTTACAAAAAAAACTTATGTGACTGAGAGTCAAATTTGCTGTACTCAGTGTTTTGAACTTAGTAGCAGTTTTTCTTTGCCAGAATTTGTCAAGTTGGTCTCTTGCTGTTTCAGACGCTGCTCCGAATATGGGACTGCTTTCTTCTGGAAGGGCCGAAAGTTTTGTTTCGATTCTCGCTGGCCATTCTGAAGATGCACAAGAAGGAGATCTTGCTGAAATCTGACACCATCAGCGTCATGCGTCATCTCAAGGCCTGCGCCAAGATCACGTATGACACTGATGGTCTTATCAAGGTACGGAAAATTGAGATGCTAATTTTCTAAATCACTATTGGTATGATTGATATGGACGGTGTTATTCATGAATAAATCAATTTTCGGTGATTCTGTGGTGGTATTATTGTTGACATATTTATGTATAAGAATTGACTACAGTGTGCTTTATTAGTTATGGGGTTATAAATGTATGAACCAGTATGCACACTTTACGTAAATCTGCTATACGAAGCAGTTTTACATAGTATGCACAACGTTTATTTCTGTTTATGCCTCCATAAACGCAAATTTTTTAATTGGTAAAATATCTTTGCTGAGGATAGCACAACTGAAGACCTACTCCGTCAGACCAATAACGTGTTATTTCATTCTTGATACTGCAATCAGAATTATAAAACACTGATTTGAAAAGATAAGAGCCATTGTTAAGGATAAGTATGTGAATTTATTCTCCGGTGTCAACAAAGCTTGACCTATGTTGTATGTTGGTGTTTGCTGCAGGTTGCGTTTGAGGACATGAAGCCGTTCACGAGTAGGCAGAACATCGTGACAAAGCAGACATGCTACCTGAACGCTCTGAAGGAGAAGTACAAACGCAAGGAAATACAGAAGCTGGCCTTCGCTGAACGCGAGCAGTTGGTAAGTCTACCTCTGATGTCAGTTTGTAGGTATGGGCAGATCCTGAGTGAGTGAGTGAGTGAGTGAGTGAGTTTATAAGGCCGCTCATATTCCAACAATATCATGGCAGGAAAATGCAAGAACAGACTTTTATACATTGTTTCAATTTTTGCATTCAAAGCAGGTTTTAGGCATTATGAGTGAACATTTTATCCACTGGAAAAACCAACATAGTTACAATATCATGCTATAGTTGTATAGGACCGCCCCTGTGGTCTAGTGGTAGAGCGTCCGCCCGGAGAGCGGAAGGTCCAGGGTTCGATCCCCGTCCGCGTCATACCAAAAGACGTTCAAAGATGGTACTTGGTGTTACCCAGTCTGGGGCTCGGCATTAAGGGGCTAAAACAAGGACTGGTTGGCTCTGAGTGAGTCAGTATACTGTGTCTGAGTGGGGTATTCATGTTAAACTGCGGCATGGTATCTCAGTGAGCTAGCACTATAAATCAGCATCAGTCCGGACTAGTACAAGCAGCCACACAAACACACACACGTACATGCACGTCACTATAAAAATGCAATAATCTTGGACGCGACGTTAAACCCTATTTCACCTCACCTCACCTCACCTCACCTATAGTTGTATAGCATTCAGACTCATCAAGAAATCAAGAATATACAGAGTTTCAAATCTACCAGTAGTCATTGTACAGGTGACCCGTGAAGATCCGGGGTAGAATAGGTCTTCAGCTGCCCATGCTTGTCGTCAGAGGTGACTAACAGGATCGGGTGGTCAGGCTTGCTGACTTGGTTGATTCATGTCATTGTATCCCAACTGCATAAGTCAATGCTCATGATGTCAATCACTGGATTGTATGGTCCAGATTTTTTACAGACCGCTGTCATGCAGCTGGAATAGTACTGAGTGCAGCGTTAAACAAACAAACAAACAAACAAACATTGTACATGCACATATTTCTATAGACTTGCACAAGTCTCTAAGACAATAATTATTAGTTTAACTCATAATTTCCTTATTGTCCACTTATCTAGACTTGCCTATTATAAGGCTAGAAGTACTACACACCCATGGACTTATCAGCCTTGGAACAAGGCTAAAGTTGTTATTCTGAGCAGGTTTATATTTTTACTACATTTGTTTCCTGATTTTTTCCAGTTCCTTTCTATTGAGTCTGAATCTGGGAACTACCTCAGTTTCGAGTGCTGTGCTGAAAGTGACAATGGTAAGTGCAGCTAATTAATAATTTCCTGCATTGATATTCTCCAATACTTCCCATGTGTAGGAATTCAAATAACTGACAATCTGACACTCTGTTGATATAGGCGATTGTTTCCGTCTATTTGTCCAAGAATTTATCAACAATTGAAAGGAATCAGATCCCCTTCAAGTTACCATTACCACCACTGATGGTGGTCAGATAGTGTCCATACCGCCGGCCACACTGACCACATGTAGTTTAGCCATCTCCTCATGTTGGACAGCTGGACCTGTCTCAGAATCTTGCTCACCATCATGTGGTCTTCATGAACCTGGCAGCTTGGTGATGAAAGACATTTGGCAAATCTCTTGACATCTCCGCATGCTGATTTGGACAGTACACAACTAATTACATGTACTGTATTCGACGTAATAAGCGCCCAAGGCACTCTCAAAATTAGAAAGAGGGGGCTCTTATTAGAATATAATTTTGGTGAAAGAGTTGAAAGATCGTAATTTCGTGGTTTATGCTGACAGCCTGAAATGATACAAAACAAAAGTCTGTGCGTATTATACAGGACAGATATATTTTTCCAGAATTTAATTGCCTGTAATTAAGGGTGCATATGACACACGAGTGTGTATAATACACAAATAAATAAGTCTTGTGTATATTGATCAATTCGAAGGGTGCTAATTGGGATTGTTCACTAGCCAATATATTAGCAAATATTGCCGTGGGCGCTTATTAGAGCGGGTCGCTTATTATGTCAAATACGGTATATTCATTGTAAGAAAGCTTTGTGTGGTGCCCCTGGCACCAGCATGCACCAACAGCACAGGAAAGGCCAGCTTGTGGATAAAAGACGTGGGATCAATCACTGGCGACGTCGGCACAGGCCTCAACATTCTCAGTTGATATGTTTTGTATTGATTTTGATCAATACTCTGACTATATCTTGACTCTTGGATAGGCACTTGTGTATATTTTTTTGTTTAAAAAATAACAAAATTATTTTTTATTTTACATATTTTCAAATATAGAAATTGGACAGTGGTATTGCTAAATAATCACATACAAGACTTGTTTCAGTGTATGAATATTGCTAAATATTTGAAAAGGAATTTTGTCTCAGTTAAGAAAAATCTGTTATTTGCATATGAAATAAAGTATAGAAATCATGGATATTTTATTTAAATTGTCTTAAAGAGTTAGCAAATGAAAACTATTCTTAAAGTAATTTTTAGAGTATACCTGATTTGCATGCATAAGAAAATTATGTTTTCACATTTTATTAGTGATTTAATGGATAATGTTACTTCAGCTATTGTTTGAAGCCAAAAGCCAAAACTAAGTTCCATCTTGAGTTTAGACAATTGTGAAGCCAAAAACCTGCTTGTGTGTACATGAATGTTGTTCCAACAAGAAGGATATTCATTGGCCAGAAGCTGGCTGTATTTGTCCAAAAACACAAGAAGAGCACCACCATGCATGCTCCTAGCCACAGAGCACCTGTTTACATGTTTGCCAGATTCCGATGTTTCTCTAAGACATTTAGAAACACTGACCAATGTCCGAGATGAAAGGGTCAAGTCTCTAAACAGACAACACTGAGAGTGAGTCTGAGGTTGTCCTGAGAGACTTGACATCTGAACAAGTGATCTCTCTGGAGGTAGACATTGCAAGATTAGAGGAAGATCTTGTGGTAGTTAATGAAAGACAAAACAAAATGACTGTTTGTTGAGACTGGCCAGATGAAAGGTGTGCGGGGGTGAAGTCTTCTCTGAACTGCTGATCTGTTTGACGTATCTTCCTGCTCCAACATCCACAAGCTTCCTCCACTGACATTCAATCCACAAAGGACCTTAGAGCTACAACTGTCGTATTTCTATATTAGTGTGTAGGAATTACTATCATGTTATCTAGACTCCTTTGAGGAATAGGTTCCTGGGATGGGACAAGTCCCTATGCAGTAGTGCTAGGTTGGGTAACTCTGGTACTAGGGTCGGGTGGGTACTGAGTAGGACCTGGGTACCCACAGGACTTACCGGACCCGTGGTTAGTCATGTGGTTATTCATGTGATACATTGTTTAATGAGAAAAATTCACTACTACAATTCCATGGTTACCTACAAGTTGCTAATGTTCTCACATCTTTCTGACAAGACGCGCTTTCCTTCTGACTTTTTATGTTTTGAGTAAAGATACAGTCAAATTCAGTGTATGCATGACCAGATCGTTTTATACGTGTTTTTATATACTTTTGTACTCAACTCTTGAGACCTACAGTGGATTCCCAGGTAGGATTGGGTAATAGGGTTGGTAGGTTGATTGGTTTGTTGTTTAACGCCGCACTCAGCAATATTCCAGCTATATGACGGCGGTTTGTAAATAATCGGGTCTGGACCAGACAATCCAGTGATTGACAACATGAGCATCGATCCACACAATTGGGATCGATGACATGAATCAACAAAGTCAGCGAGCCTGACCACCTGATCCCATTAGTCGCCTCTTACGACAAGCATAGTCGCCTTTTACGGCAAGCATTCGGGTAATAGGGGGTCGGGTACCCGGTTAGTAAATATTGGACTCGTCCCAGCCCTGCTATGCGGCCCCTGGGTACCCATGCTGCTACTGCCAATAAGACCTTGTTGCCATGACAATAGACGAACATATAGTCATGAAATCGTATATTACACAGTAAACTTCTCTCCTCTAAAATTGAAACAATAATTCTGATGCTGATTGTGGAATAGAGGTAGCTGGAGCTGGCTAGACTTGCTTTTGTGTATATATCTGGATTGGTTTTGTTTTCATAAAATAAATATATTCCACAGTCATGGTGCAGGACAGACAACCTCACCGACTAATAGGGGGTGAGGGGCGGTCGGGTAGCCTAGTGGTTAAAGCGTTGGCTCGTCACGCCAAAGACCCGGGTTCGATTCCCGACATGGGTACAATGTGTGAAGCCCATTTCTGGTGTCCCCCGCCGTGATATTGCTGGAATATTGCTAAAAGCGGCGTAAAACCATACTCACTCACTCACTAATAGAGGATGATGGGTAGAGAGCGAGTACAAGCAGCCATGACATGACGTTAACCCCATGGAACCTCACCCCTATATTCATCAGTAGTACTAATTCTTTGAGTGCAGATAACTCAGTAGTTTCTGTTCTGATATTTCGATAGGCGCACAACCACACGACAGTATTATGCACGCAGGGCTTCTCCCTGCCCATCACCCACAGCATCAGCACACACTCATCAATACAGGAGTGCTATACATAGTCTCTGTTGTATTAGTTTCTGCTGGTGTTTTGTCTTTCATCAGCCTATGATTACTTTTAATAGCTGTGATAATGAGCTAATAGCCACATTAAGCAATTAGGGGGGGGGGCAATGTAAGCCATTTCCTCGGACCCCACACTGTGATAATTACAAGCAATTAATGCACTTGGCCAATGCACTGTTAAGAAGCAGGCCATTCATGTTGATGGGAATTAGCAGCCGAAGCACTGAATGACTTGAATGACTGCAAGATATAGGGTGTTACACATGCTCTTAGGGCTCAACAAGTTTGGTGGGAACTTGACTGTCTCACAATCCCTGAATCATGTTATTTTCCCTTCTGCCTAAACCTTACTGTAATGCCAGAGCACTAAATGAAGCAAGTCTACATATTCCACAGTCTGTCACCCAGTCCCTGAATCATGTTATTTTCCCTTCTGCCTAAACCTTACTGTAATGCCAGAGCACTAAATGAAGCAAGTCTACATATTCCACAGTCTGTCACCCAGTCCCTGAATCATTATATTTTCCCTTCTGCCTAAACCTTACTGTAATGCCGGAGCACTAAATGAAGCAAGTCTACATTTTCCACAGTCTGTCACACAGTCCCTGAATCATTATATTTTCCCTTCTGCCTAAACCTTACTGTAATGCCAGAGCACTAAATGAAGCAAGTCTACATTTTCCACAGTCTGTCACCCAGTCCTAGTCCTGCACCATGACCGTGGAATATATTTATTTTATGCAAGTCTAGCCAGCTCAAGCTAGCTCTATTCCACACAGTCCCTGAACCATTATATTTTCCCTTCTGCCCATACTTTAGTTCTAAAAAAGCAAGCCTAGATTTTCTACAGGTCTGAATTTCCAATCTCACTGGGGCTCCTTTTCAATTTAAATGTAGTTATTTTTTTTCCATCCAAATGATATATTTTCAGAGACAAAGCATTAGTCTAGGTGGGAACATGTAATCAATGTTGCTAATTATTGCTTTTTATTAAAAATAATTACGGTATCTAACTATATATTTTTATGATTTATATTCACAAAATTTATTTCTATACTTGTTACATTATAATGATAAATAACAAGTTAAAACATATCTCATATATAATTTGAATCTGTTAATTATTGAATGACAAAATTATTTGAAACTTATTTCGTTTAAGAATGACTTGCCTTGAAGTTCTTGGGAAGGTTTAGTATTTTTGTGTGTGGATTGATTCACAGATTCTGACAAATTCATGAATGGAAACATCCTAAATGAATGTATTTATCCATTCTAAAAATACTCCACTTTATTATTATCCAATTCCAAGGAAGAGGTTTATCAATTAGCACTGTGTAGGAAGTGACAGAAGGAGATTCTAGGCGTGCTATATAGGCGGGAATACGAGTTGTTAGCTTATTGCTGGGATATACCGGAGATTAGGTCAAAGGTCAGCCTAGTGTAGTGATAGCTATGCTGTAAACAAGGTCACTGAAGAATGTACACCCTTCCTTGCCTCCTTGCACTGAAGACCGCCACCGTGGTCTAGTGGATAGAGTGTCTGCCCGGAGAGCGTAAGGTCAGGGGTTTGGTCCCCAGTCGTGTCATACCTAAAGATGTTAATAGATGATACTTATTGTTAACATGCCTGGCACTTGGCATTAAGGTGATAAGACAAGGATTTATAGGCTAGGATTCAGTATACTGTGTCTGAATAGGGCATCCAGGTTAAAACTGTGGCATAATATCATCTGAGTGGACTAGCACTATAGAACCAACATTACTGAGGACTAGTACCAGGACACAGACAGACACACAGAGACACACACAGACACACACACACACACACATATGCAGCGAGCATAAATGTTCCAAGTCCTGTGATGGGATTAGAACCTTCTGATCCGAGGTTGGACGCCTTGTCCACATGACCAAAGAGGTTAACCCCGTCAGCACGCTGACAAGGTAAGCATGTCATCTGTGGGATGACGCCATACAGGCAGACACACACATTGTATGTCACTGGGCCATAAGACCACTGGTTTAGAACAGAATGAAGATAGTCAAGGACAGGGAGGCAGATGGGAATGAAATTAGTTTCATTTGTTATTACGAACTTAAACCTTGAAAAGTATGTCCGTGTGTGTGAAAAGTACGAAAATACACTGTTTGAAGGAGGCGTGGCCTAAATGCAAATGTCCGATTGGGGTTTTGAATTTTCCAGACCCCTGGTGTGGGGCTAATTGCAAGTGATTCTATGTCATGTGATTGGCTAACCCAGCTTCCATAATTCGAAAAAAATTAGGCCACCCCCACTCGTGGACTACTGTTTCCTGATTGGCTGGGCTTGTGTGGCACTATTGTTATGTCGTTGATTTCATATCGTTGTCTGCATTATTTTTGTGTCCAATAATTTTTGACTAAATAAGTTATTATTGTTGACTTTCTTATTCACAAAAACTGACTTCAATATATTTTGTGTTTATGGAGTTATAAATGTAAAAACCAGTGAGCACACTTTATGTAAACGTTTTACGGAAAATATTGACGTCAGTTCAGTAACTAGACTGTAGTCGGTGGATGGTGAGTGTGTTGTTTCTTGTTGCAGGAGATATCTGGCTGTGCTACGGAGAGCAGATGATGTCCAAGGTGTGCAAGGTCAACACCAGCCAGGGCGTCATGATGGACGTGGCCATTGAGGTAAATAGCCGTCATTCACTGCGGGGGGGCACGGGTGGCCCAGTCGTCTGAGGCGCTGTGATTTGCTGTGCAGAGTTGCGTCCCTTGGGCACGCCAGAAACCTATGATTGTGGGTTCGAATCCTGGTTCGAATCCCGGTTCACCCCGATTATGTTTCTAGGTTTGTCAGCACCATACACGTGGTCGTGGGTTTCACCGAAGTGGTAAATGTCTGAGACCTGCATCACTTCGGGCTTTCCTTCCACATTAAACTGACACGCCGTGATATAACTGGAATACTGTTAAAAGCGGCGTTAAACCCAACTCACTCACTCACTCATTCACTGCGGAGGGATCAACATGTCACTTGCTTATATTGACAGTAGCGGGGACCTCGCTTAGATGAACACTAACAAGCTAGCTGTCAGTCATTTCCCAATGAACGTCAGTATGGCGCTTGATTCGTTGTATACAGAACTAATTTAGGGGAATTCCTCAATGCCTAAAATCATGTCAAATAGGAATGGTATCATAATACGATTCAGGCTATGAATGATGCAGGCTTTGAAGCCAGACAGATCGTCATCTGTCTAGTCACTGAAATGAGTGAGTGAGTGAGTTTGTTCTTACGACGCTTTTAGCAATGTTCCAGCAATATCACGGCAGGGGACGCCAGAAATGGGCTTCACACATTGTACCCATGTCGGGATTCAAACTCGATCTTTGGTGTGACGAGCATATGCTGTAACCACTAGGCTACCCGACCACCCCTTCACTGAAAAAAGTGTCCAATTGAAATGGGAAACAGGGAATGGTCATAACTAACGTGTTATGCTTGGGATTACATGTTCTTGATTAAGTACGAATCCTACTATTGGGTGGCGTCCCAATCAGGAATCAAACCCACGCTCTCAGAATAAGTCTGATAACTTTACTAAGAAGTTTAATCCCCCAAATAACATATATTAAACCTGCATCACTTCGGCGTTTCTTCCATTAGGTTGGCATACATTGATATAACTCAAAAACAGTTCCAAGTGGTTTGAACTCACACACTAGGTCTTAAATGGAAGAGAGACAAAGTGTGATGGATGTTTACTGATAAAGATGTTTTCTTCACGACTGTTTCAGTTTGACACACGCGTGATGTGCATGCTGGCGCTCCCCAACAACATGGTGCTCTATGGAACGCTGTCCTGGATGGTGTTCGCATACAACATGGCCAAAAGGTAAGTACAAACCGAGGCATCTCAAGTCTCTCAACTCCAGTGAGGTTGAGTGAGTGAGTGAGTATGGTTTTTTTTATGCTGCTTTTAGCCATATTCCAGCAATATCACGGTGGGGGACACCAGAAATGGGCTTCACACATTGTACCCATGTCGGGAATCGAACCTGGGTTTTCGGCATGACGAGCGAATGCTTTAACCACTAGGCTACCCGACCGCCCCCAATGAGGTGGAGAAGAATCAGAGGGGTGAAAGGGCAAACCCGATAAATCCCAAATCTGATAGCAGAAATATTAACATATTAATATTAGGGATGGGATGTGATTGTTCTACTTGACAAAAAATACAAGTATTTCAACACCAAGGAGGTGTTCTGCTTGTTTATACGTTTGGGTCCACCCCATGAAGATCTGGGTTAGAATTGGTCTTCAGGAACCCATGCTTGTCTGTCCCATGAAGATCTGGGTTAGAATTGGTCTTCAGCAACCCATGCGTGTAAGTGGTGACTAACAGGACGTGTTTGATGCATGTCATCGTATTCCATTTGTGTAGATTGATGCTTATGATGTCAATTACTGGATTGTCTGGTCCAGACGATGTCTATTTTAGACCAACATGATGTAGCTGGAATATTGCTGAGTGTGGCAATAAACAACATAAGATTCTCTGTATAACAATTCAAGTAAAGTTAAAACAACACACACAAAATAGTCCAAGTCTGGATGTTGTGGAGCAGTTTCTGATGAGTGTATGTGATGTCCACAGGGAGAAGATCTGGCAGGTGCGGCTCCATGACGCGGTGTTGTCCATCTCCATGTACGTGGACGAGGACGACTGCTGCAGGGTGTTCGCAGGCCTTGCTGATGGAACCGTGGCTGTCCTCGAGGTACATATGCACTCATTGTCAACATTTGTAAATATTTGGTAAACAATGTATTTTTTTCTTTGTTTACAGTTTATGTGAACAATTCTGGTCAGTTGATTGAAAAAGAAATACAATTTTTGTTTAAATAATGTGTTCTTCGAAAAGCTCTCTGATCATTTGCACTGTTTCATGTGTGGCATGTTTAATATATTGTATGCTCAATACTTTTGTGGCGATGTCTGCATTTTGCTGAATAAAAAAAAAGTCACTTTTTGGGGCAAACCAAATTTTCTTAAGATGTTTTGATTAAAGAATATAGTCAACAAATCCCTCTAGTACTGTAATTACAGCTATCAGGTAATCCAATCAATGGTAACTCTTGAAAGTTGTCCAGCCCTTCAAAACTGAAGAACTTAAATAGTATACTTTGTGCTTCCTTTAACTATGAGTATATTTTGTTCACGAATCACATACAGATTTTTCCTCATTAACTTGACTGCAAGACTGAGAGAGAACACAACCTGCCATGAGTTATCTCCCTTTATTCTCCCAACCTCGCCTGCCCTGATTTGGCACAAAAGAAAATGTTTTCCCATAGACTTCTAAAGTAACATTATATTCTTTTTGGAAATAACTGAGCATTAAAAAACTATTACCTGTATGTGTGTGCCCAGTCTGGCCTCAAAGCAGCAATAAAAACACACAAAAATACTAGCTTAGCCAGCTCCTTTTCTGAGTACAGGAAGCTAAACACCTAAATGTCACCTGCTTGAAAATATCTGTGGTCACATTCAGCATAAGTCATAATGTTAATAAAGACAGTACTAAATACTGAAGATCAAAATCATCCAATCACAGCTGCCGGCTGTCAATGCGCTGAGCTGCAATCTGCACTGAAGGCTCTCAACAAAACTGTGTAATATCTCTCTCTCTCTCTCTCTCTCTCTCTCTCTCTCTCTCTCTCTCTCTCTCTCTCTCTTTCTCTCTCTCTCTCTCTCAATAATGTCTAATCCTGTGTATGTCACTGTCATCTTGTGTTTGGTTAAAATACATAAATACATTATCAATTTCAGGCTGTGAACGAGATAATGCCTACCTATGATATGATGTACATTCCTATTGGTCAGTCTCCGGTCATGTGTGTACAGTTGCTTGGCAACCACCTCTGGTGTGCATGTGGAAATAAAGTCTTCATCATCCATGCAAGGTAGGTTCATGGGCAGAAAACTAAATACGAGTGTTCAACACAACCGTCTCCTTAAATAAGTGTGTGTGTTTGTTGTTTACTGCTGCACTAAGAAATACTCTAAGACAGCGGTCTGTAAATAATCTGGACCAGACAATCCAGTGATTGATGTTGTGTGCATCATCAGTGTACGATGACATGCAATCAACCAAGTCGCTGAGCTTGACCACACAATCCAATTGGTCGCTTCTTACAACCAGGGGCGGTTGGGTAGCCTAGTGGTTAAAGCGTTCGCTCTTCACGTCGAAGACCCGGGGTACAATGTGTGAAGCCCTTTTCTGGTGTTCCCCGCCGTGATATTGCTGGAATATTGCTTAAAGCGGTGTAAAACCATACTCACTCACTCACTCACTCTTACAACCAGCCTTGGTTGCAAAGGACCAATTCTAACATGGAATCCCTATCATCTTTTCCGACTTGCAATGAGGTCACATTCTACCCTGGTTCCCCACTTAAATAGTGAGTGAGTGTGGTTGTAACACGCTTTTATCAATATTCCAGCTATATCACGACAGGGAACACCAGAATTGGCTGAAGACCAATTCTAACCCAGATCTTCATGGGGAGCAATAAAATATAGACCAACCCCAGCGTGACTGTATAAGACAACGTTTGTTTATGATTGTGTTCACATTCTACAGTTACGCTGATATTTCCATTCCATATGCAGCACCCTTGACGCCATGGACAACTTCACAGTGTCGTCCAATCCATACGACCACATCCTATCGCTGGCACCAGGTCGACCGGGAGTCTGGATCTCAATCCGTGGGTCGTCCATCTTGGAATTGTGGGACGTCAATGCGTTGAGCTGCAAGATGCTGTATGACACGCGAGCAGGGAAATACCCAAATCTGCGCAAGGTGGGTTCACAGAAGTGGATCTTGCGAGTAAGAGACAATATGTTATCATGCCTACCGTAGATGCAGCTAGCGTCACATTGGCTCCGTAGACGTGCATGCACTGTGGTTCGTATGTGGAGAAGCATCCTGCCAGACGTATCCCAAGACTTGGTGACATTCAATATTAAAGGCCTTATATATTTTTTATTTGGTTTACGACAAAGACAAAAAAAATATTCGAAAATAATAATGAAATTGGGCTGACCCGGTGTTTAAATTTGGTGAAGAAAAAAACACACAAGATTATATTACCAGTGTTCATAACAAATGGTGAATAATACATTTAAAAATATTTATTCTAACAAAAGAATTATTATTTTTATTCGGTATCGTTTTGCTATCTTTCTGTTAAGGTGTGTACTAGTAGTTTGTTTTTCATTCATTAGCAGCAGTTGTAATCTGGAAGTTAATTATTATTTTTTTATGTTTTCGACCACCTACATTGAATAATAAGCCCATCGTTTTGTATTCCAAATAATAAAAAATACAAGGCCTACAGGAAAATAAGCATTGTCATTTTTACCGAACAAATTAATTGTAGTAGGAACATAGGCATGTTAAGCATATCCAATATATGATTCATTAACAAAAACACAGCGGGGAAATAATAAGAATTCTAGTTGTATTGCAGTTGTATTGCAGTTGTATTGCAGTTGTTATGCTAACCAGTGTGAGCACATGAAATATGTGTAGACATCTGAGTATCTTCAAATTGACTGGATACCTTTTTCAGGCTGAGAAAACTGATGAAAAATAATTACCCGAGATAAAAAAGATGATGTTGATGTCTGAAACACATTGACTTGATTCCAAACATCTTGGTCAAATGGAAAATGGACCAACGTGGAAGCAACTTATTTGACTAAATTCACAATTACTACAATAAAAAAAAAGAGTTATATTTGATATTTTCAAAATTCTCTACCAAGCTACCATGGTTACCAATCTTTCGTACTTGTAACTCTGCAAAGGGAAATTTCTTCACTTTCTATATTAATTTCCTGTTGTGTCTTAATTGCAACTGCTTTGTAGACTTTTAATTGTCACTCGTCACAATCTCTGTACAACCCAAACAAGCTCACAATCACACAGGTCTTGCAGACTTTTAATTAATTATATGATTTTCATCCATATTCTTCAACATTTGAGCTCAATGTAATTTTAGCTTGCTAATCCTGGGTATGCTTCTATCTTGCCAGTCACAGAATTGATAGAAATGACTGTCATGGTTAAGACATCCATGGATTGAAAAATGAAAATCATGTAATTAATTCATTACGGCCATGGCCCTGTGCCACAAAGCGATCCTTGCGCTACGACTATCTTATGCCTATGTTAAACTATGGGAGTTACCGTATTCGACATAATAAGTGCCCCGCTCTAATAAGTGCCCACGGCGATATTTGCTAATATATTGGCAAGTGAACAATCCCAATTAGCACCCCTTCCGATTGATCAATGTACACAAGACTTAATTATTCGTGTATAATACATACTCGTCGTACAAAAACAGTTCAGACCGTCAGCATAAACCACGAAATTTATCTTTCAACTCTGTTTTTTCCACCAAAATAATATTCTAAAAAGAGCCCCCTTTTTCATATTTTGAGAGCGCCCTGGGCGCTCATTAGGTCAAATACGGTAATTCAGCACGTAGATCGCTTTTTGAGACGTTGCCATGGCCATTGTGATTGAATCATGTATTGACATGCTCAGTGGATTCTGTGTGATATTACCAGCATGAACAGAATAGCATGATTCCCCTTGCTCAGTTCGATGAATCCCTGCATCGCCTGGAATGTATCCTACAGATGTTAACATTGCACCTAGCCTCATCTCACCAAGCCACTCCTTTCATACCTTTAAATCTGGTGCCTAGCAACACATACATCACATTATCTACCTCTGTCACCCCAACATGTCTCTTCTCTGCACTGTGTGTGTTTATACTGTAGCTTCATAATTAAATCAATAGACACAAAACTAAAGATAAAGTTCTCAAATTAAGTTTTACTCAGAAAAATATTTCGTAGGTCATTAAAGTCCTGGCTGACGACAATTTCTAGCATAGACAAATATAATTCAATCTAACTCAAATGTTTGTTTTTATGATGTACAAAAATCAAATAAAGATGTTAACTGATAATATTTTAATGACATCAAATACAGAACATGGCTGAATAATTTATTTGAAAATCATAAAGTTCATAATTCCTGTAATTTCTGAGATATGTTCTGGTTTACGTACCATGCATCCATGCAAACCGCTGAACAGGTGTATGTTCAACTTGACATCAAAACAAGCTGATCTAATAGCTGCATCTCTCGTTTCAGGAGGATGACAGCTACTTCAACAGAGCCCGGATCACAGCTATTCTCCCGAATGACAACACTGTCTGGATTGGCACGGGCGAGGGCAACCTCATCATTTATGAAGTCGTGGAACAGATGCCTAGTCTGACTCCGTCTGAGGCATCGTTTTCCGAAAACATCCCGGAGAACATGTACCTGAGTCGCTCCGTGGAGGAGGTGGATCCATACGATCCAGTCCGGGCAGTCGAGGAGCGGGTCCGCGAGCTCTACTACAAGAATCTCAACAGTCCTGATATCGTGCCAAAGTCATTTGATTGTCGAAGGTTGAACATTAATCTCGGCGACAGTTCCACTCCGACAGCTAGTACAGGTGCCTTGTCAGATGACTGTGTTGCCTTCTCCCGGAACAAACTGCAGTCATCCACACCTGCTGACTACTCCCGATCCCCTCCTGGTCAGTGTCTAGACATGACCTCCCCAAGTTATTGGTTCGACAGCTATGGAAAAAGCTTTTCGAACAATCCACTGCAGTTCCAGGACCAGAACCCGAGTCTGTTTGCCAACATTGAAGAAGCCAAAGAACCGGATGAAGCTTCTGATGCTTCATCCCATGAGGCTGATGGGAAGGCGAAGAGGAAGCTGTTTACGAGAGAAACTCCCAAAATCTCGGAATCGGACTCTTTGTTGTCGAATGGTGATGTATGCAACAGTTCTGAGCGACAGGACAGTGTATCAGAAACGCCTGTGTCCAGCCCTTTGTGCAATGGCAAATTTTCACATGAACTGAACACTGTGGAGAACAGTGGTCCTGTCTCGGAGTCAGATCAGCAAGACCGATCTGTGACAACCTTGCATGACCATACACAGAGTAGTGACAATAACGGAGCCTTAAAGGAGTGTAACGGCTCAGCCAAAATAAAACCCAGGTTTGCGGACATGAAGTCTTTAAGTGCTGATTCTGGAATCAGGATAGGTTCCGAGGTGGATGGTTCTTTCCAGACGACCTCTGTGAAGGAGAGAAACGGCTCTGCCAAATCATCAGATTCTAAAAGTGCTTCCAATAGTAACACCAAAGAGGTTAATGGACATACAAATGACAGTGGCTTACCCCAGGGCTGTGACCTTGGGGCTCCTGCTCAGGGTGAACACACAAACGATGCCAGTTCTACCCCGACCAAGTGCGCAGACACAGAAACAGATCATGCCAGTGCAAAGGACACTGAATCGGACAGTGTAAGTGTTGAATCTCCCAACTGCAATGAATCCTTTAAAAGGCTTCGCAGAGAATCCGGACAGCTGAAACACTTGAAAATAAAGCAGAATGGTGTTGGTAGAGAATATGTAGAATCGGATGATGAGGTGTTTGTTGATGCTGAGGACAAAAAGGTGAAGAAAGCATCTAGTTTGGGCAACATTCTGGATATGGTAAAGAGCGTAGTACGGAAGGAGGTGGCGCCCAGTGTGCCGAAAGTTTTGCAAGGTCGTATGGACTCGGTGTCCAGTTCCATGGGCAACTTGAAACCAAAGAACCAGGAAACGCAATGGAGGATTGACTTCACGGGCTACCATGTAGACACGGACTGTGAGAGCCAGCTGTCGACTCTCTCCGACCTAGACTCCGTCTCACAGCCATCCAAGAGTCACAGACCATCCATTGACTCTCAGCCCGAACTGAAGCAGTTTGCCAGTCAGTCTGAAAACAATCTTTCCAACTTCAATCCAGAAAACTTCATCTTTCCTGAGGACTTTTCCCTGGAGCAGAAAATGGCCAAGTACCTGCAGACACCAACTTTTGGAACGCCCCACAGCTCGAAGGGGTGGTCGAGTTTTGACAACTTATCGACCCCATCACGTGATCAGGATACTTCCAGTCCTGATCAGAGGCGGGCAGTCTTCCTCCGGGGTGACTCGTTGCATAGCGATGTCTCCAGGGGAACAAGCAGCGTCTCCCTGGCAACCATGGCAGAATCTCTCTACGCTGCAGACCTCTATGTTCAAGCTAAGGTCAAGATATCGGACAAGCCGGTTAAGTGTCTAGTCCGTCTCAAGTAAGTACAATTATCTGAAAGTTGAATTCTCCATAACACATAATCCACAGACTTGCTAACAAATTATACCCATATTACCTGTCACGATTTTTTCAAGTGTTGCTCACCTTGACTTTATTTATGCTGATGTCATGGCTATATGTCCTTCTTTGTGACAAAATTAAATATAGTCACAATGGCAGAACTAGAAGTTTAGAATATAAAATCAGTAAAGTATAGACTATTTTCAATCTAGCCTTACTACAGTCAAACCAAATTCTTAGACTTCTTGTATCTTGCATTATTTGTTTATATTAAAGAGGTACTCGGGCCAATTGTCCGTCAAAACAAGTCCTATATAAGTCTCACAAGCAACACTTATATAGTCATATGCTGATGCTGTGAATCAATATCAGTCTACACATTACCGTATTTGACATAATAAGCACCCAGGGTGCTCTCAAAATTAGTAAAAGGGGTGTACATTGATCAATTGGAAGGGTTGCTAATTGGGATTAATCACTAGCCAATATATTAGAAAATATCGCCATGGGTGCTTATTACGTCGAATACGGTAATTACATGCCTCAACCTGAACAACATGGACACCAGACTGAAAGCAAAGCTCTTCTTCGATCCCTTCTAAACTGCCTACCTAACAGAACCTTGCTTATCGTGAAACTATTTTCTGTTTGCAGACGGAAAGATGACCTGATACTCAGTCTGTCGGGATCATTCGGCGATGATGAGGCTGTGTTGAAATGGAAGAGGGCTCCAAATGAGGTGGGCCTTCTACTCACTCAAACATCCAAAACATACTTGAGACCAGACCCTGGTGTACCTACAGCTAGTCAGAAATGTTTTTTATTTTACTTTGCATAAGGCTAGATTAAGTTGGTTTATCTGCCAACTCCCCAAATTTGAAAAGTGAAAAAAAATTAAAACAGTGGGTTTTTTATTCTACCAACCAGGAACAAGTAAAATTTTAAAAACAACCTCATTTACTGTTACTATCAATGTAAATAAATTATTTAAAATTCTATAATTAAAACCTGTTGAACATTTATCTTTATGTATTGTGCTTCCTTCCTAAAAAAAATAGTCTAGCCAGAGACGGTTAATATTTGTGTTCAAACAGGAAAGAATATGAATAGGGTCCAGGGATGGGGGGTTAAGGCGTACACACCCTCCTTTTTGAAGTCAACAAATAGTTAAAAACATACATGTATGAACCAATGAATAATTTTATTTAGATATTTGGTGTATTCTCAATAACTGGATTGTTAACTTAGAATCTGGGGTCTGTAGAAACCACTGACTGTAGAGACGTATGCACTGTAAAAGAATCACTGGCCTGGTTACCGGATTTTTCTAGCTGAATGTGCCTCTACACAAGACAAGGACAGTCAAGGAGTGTACACGAACATTCAGCTTGAAAAATCCTGTATACCCGTATCTAACAATTTATCATTAGGTGTTCAAAAGTACAAGACTTATTTTTGGTGAAATATTTGCGAGCTGTCACTTGTGACCGCTATCAGACTTTCAGTATGGTAACTCTAAGTGCAAACAGCATCAGTTGTAATTGTCAGAATGTAACATTCAAAAGAACTGTGTGTATGAATCCAGTTTACAAGGTCACCTCTGAGCACATGGTCAGTACAGGAAGTTCAATGGGAGTGGTCTCCCCTTAGATAATACTGTCTTACAACTACTCCTAACTCATATAATAAACTATGAACTTCTACTGAAGTTCTACCTGTTACAAGTTGATACTTGGCATTACAAGACGGTGAGCATGGTGAGTGACCAGTCAGTTTGCTAGATTGTTTAATTTTGTCTGTTCTTCCAGCAGATGATCTGGACCAATGATCCAATCCTGGAGTTCTGCCTGGACACCAACACCCCCAAGCTTCCATCATACATGCGGAATAGGATGTCTAGCACCTCCTCAATCACCAGCAATAAGAGCAACGGTTCTGTCAAGTACCTCAGTCTCTCGCAGGGCAGTGATTAGCTTTACAGGTTCGGGAAGGGGAGACTCGGAACGGTTTCCTTCAAGTATCTCGGTCTCTGGCAGGGCAGTGATTAATCTTACAGGTCGGGAAGGGGCATGGTTCTGTCAAATATATGTATGTCAGCCTCTCACAGGACAGAGATGAGCTTGAAGGACATGGACTTGTCAGCTGAGCATTTATTTGTGCAAATGAAAGAGGCATAGTTTGAAATATTGGACTTTTCACCTATGAGAAATGCATGAATAAGTTTCTCTGAAGACCTTTGTGATTTGAATGTTGTAGGAGATGGCATGTTGTGAGACTTCATCCAAGAAAAGCCTGGCAGTGAAATTTTGTAAAATGCACTGATTGCGAAACAGACTTTCTGACTGATGTACTTATGGGTGAAATAACCCATTACCTGTGAAAATAATGGTATGGGAACTATAGTGCCAGGGGAGACTATTGAATGGAAATGGAGGTTCATTTGTGTATTTGTGTGACACATGACCCGCATCTTCTGACAGTCTGGCAAAGGAGACTCTTGTTTAGCCCAAGACTGTGTCACATCCTTACAAGAAGCCGAAGTGTGTTGCAATTCGGGACGAGGGCTTCCAGTTCACAAGGACTGGGAAGACCCATTTCTGTGATTCAAGGTTAAGGATTGACAACACATTTACAAAGCTGTTGGCACAAGGAGAAAAATGGCTGTGGACAATACATTTACTTCGGGATATGTATCAGTGATAGTTTGTGTGTGAGGAATATTGTACCAGTATGAACCTTGGTGATTGCAGTTTTGAATGAACAAAATCCTGTGTCATATTAGCAGAATGTATGCAAAGAATGACTTTGTGGAGATGGTCCTTGGCATTGGACAACGCAGTGTTGCCAAGTTGGAGATGATCTTTGGTATTGGACAACGCAGTGTTGCCATGTTGGAGATGGTCTTTGGTATTGGACAACGCAGTGTTGCCACGTTGGAGATGATCCTTGGCATTGGACAACGCAGTGTTGCCACGTTGGAGATGATCCTTGGTATTGGACAACATGGTGTTACCACAGGAGGTGGAGCTTCTGACCAATCACTGTCATGGATGATGAACATTTGTGTGTTGAATGGTCAACACATTAGTGATGTGTATTGACCCTGGGCTGGGTCAGACAGCGGGTTGTCTTGCTGTCTATCATCACAATGGCCATGAATCTCGAATATCTTGTGAACAAACTCTCGTCAAGGGAGACAATACTATGAAGTCTTGGTGTTTAAGTTTAACATTTGCACAAACATTAACATTTTCAAAACTGAGCTCTCTCAACAAATCAATGACTTTTTTTTTTGTTATAAATGCTTAAAACATGCTGGACATGTTAGATATTTTATGATTTTGTTAAGTTTTCAAATCTACCCATATAGGTATTAATGAAAAGTTTCTGTAATATTTATACTAAATTTGATTTGAATTTACTCTATTTCAAAGAATATGAAGTTTGAATTTGGAACATATCCCTTCTCTGTAAATACAAGTTTTTGCTACTCTGTGATAATGTTGTGATAATATTTTATGTACATTGAAAGGATATTTTTTCCAAATCTTCAGAGTATAGGATTTGATGGGACCAAAGTAATGTTGTTTCTGTGATGATCATTCCTTCAGAAATGCACAAAATGTAGACTGTTTTATATCACAGCAACATTATTGGAGAACAAGCGTTGATCATTTTGTTTCTTCAGGATCACATCAATTCACATGATCAGAAACGGGTATTGGTGTTTCATGTTATAAAACTGTATTAAACATTCATAATGATACAATTTACGATCATGTTTAATCTCTTCCGGTCTGAAATATATATTTTGGAATACATAGAAAACGCAACATTAAAATTCAGTTTGCGGTTCAAAAATCAGTAAATTTGAGAATTTCTAAGCTAATGCATTTAAATAATATCCTCACTATTATTTTGTGTAGGATAGCAATCCAATAGTTCAAGATGCTGGAACAGGTTAAATATGAGTCGATGTTGTGATTGAGCTGGTGTGTGAACACAGTGTACAAATAGATGTCAGTGACCTACAAAATGTTTTCAAATGATCACGTGAATATATTTTTTACAAATTGTGATCGTGTGAAATATGTACATATTGCAGCCATAATGTATATATAATGAACTTTGGTATACAACATACCATGTTGTGATCCTAGATATACAGGACTACACCATAACAACATTGTCATTACTTTGTACAACATTGTTACCATACTGTAAATATCGGAAACGACACTAATATATTTTACTTACATCATGTGATAGTGTATAGAGATTCTAACCAATGGCTGCACTTGTTCTGGGACATACGGCATGGAGAGCCAACTATAGCTGCTTACTTAAATTGTACCATCGTCAATACTTCACAGGTTTGAATACACTACGATCATCTGTCACTTGTGAAAACATACGATTTGTTTGATAGGCATTTCTTAGAAGTTGACTGAGGTCAAAGTAGACATAATTTATGGTTAACAACTTCTTTATTTTACTTTAATTGCAACGTTTTGGTATAAATCCTTTGTCAAGCTCTGGATCTATACCAATACGTCGCCATTACAGTAAAATAAAGTTGATATCCATAACTTGTGTCTGCTTTGTGTGAATACATACGACCAATGGGGGTTAGTAATAAGGCTGGTCTATTCTGAGGTATATGTATTCATGGGTGTTAGAGGAACAGTGTATACAAACCTGTTAAGTACTGACCATGCAACTGTGTATTCCATAAACCTTAATATATATCAACAGGAATGTTTCTAGTTTTATATTGTCAATGCTTCATCTGTCTCTGAATTCTACCAAATATTCTCCTGTTTGTGTTGGTTACGGATATGTTGCAATGGATATTGTCGTGCTACCAGTGTTCAATTGGGTGCTGGGGTCCTTCACGTTCGCTCCTCTTGTATACTACTCAAAAGAAGTTATGGCATGACAGATTAACTTTAGCAATATGTAAAAAAACAGGTGATCCCTAACTTTCTTTGAGTAGTATATTTGTATCTCGAGCGACCCTTAATCTTTAACTTTTAACATTAGGGTAAAGAGAAGGGGCCCTTGACGTTCCATGTAGTGATGAACACTGGTTATATACTACTCAACTTTTGATAAGGATACCGAGATTAGACACCGAGATCAGACCTAATGTAACAATTCTGAGTGACAATAATTTTGTCCATATGCGTACCTTCGTTGACATGAAACTTAAAACACGAGTTTTATGAAAATATGTGTGAAAATGTGTGTGACAAGCAGTCAGTATCATTCATTTCCCACACGGACTCAGAGACTTCCTATTGAATGTTGAGTAGCATAATATAGAACCCATCCATGGTTGAGGAATCTTCATGTAGAAAGAATAATTGCTAATCTGTAAGAATTAAATCTCGGATAAATCACCAGTTCCTTCCATTGGAATCTCAGTGAGGCCAGACCCAGCTTTTTCTTGTGTTGCAGACTTCCTATGTCAAAAGTTCAGGATGCAGGCTACAGACAGAATTGATCAAGGAGAACAGAAAAGAAAAGAGTTTCTGGTTACCATTTTGATTGTTATAGATACTACTCAAAAGAAGTTAAACACCTGATTTGTTCATATGACTGTAGTTAATCTGTCATGGCGGGTGGGTACAGCCATCCAAATGTGGTGTTCTTAACTTGTACTGAGTAGTATACAGGGATACTTAAAATCCTCGAAAACAGAATAAACGAGACACTTAAATAATCTGAAAAGTTGAAATATGGTTATTTTCAATCAAACATTTGTCATTTGAAAAACTGCAGGTTTATGCAAGAATAAGAAAAGAACATCTGTCTGGACAAAGAATATATTACTCAAGAGAAGTTAAGGCCAACTGCTTTCATATTACAGCAGTTAATTTGTCATGGCGTGACAGATGAACTATAGCAATATGAAAGAATCGGGTAGTCCTTAACCTCTTTTGAGTAGTATACATTTGTAAAACCATGTACCCTGTGTCATGTGATGGATGACTGGCACCACAGTGTACTGGGCATGAAGATCTCATTTTTCTTTTTATTTGAAGATTCCAAAACTTAGAGTTGTTTATCATTTCCCTGTTGTTATAATGTATGATATACATTTCCTGATATCGAGGCCACATCATTGCTGCTTGTCTTTCATTGTTACAATATGTCAAAGCATCTTTGTTCATCATCAGAATCATCCAGAGTCATCTAGTCACATGTAATAAACATACACAAACATACTCGGGCTTCTGTCCATTGTTGGTGAGTGAGTGTTTTTTTGGGGGGGGTTCCTAACACCAAACTCCACCTATATGACCCCAGTCTATAAATAATTGAGTTTGGACCAGACAATACAGTGATTGACATCATGAGCATCGATCTACACAATTGGGATGCAATGACATGCATCAACCCAGTCTGCGAGTCTGACCACCCGATCCCATTTATCGCCTCTTATGACAAGCATGGGTTGCTGAAGACCAATTCTAACCCAAACTTTTAGGGTTAAGTCCGGGGGTGAGGGGGTTTGTGTTAAAGCAGCACATAGCTACATGTATGTGACAGCTGCCTGTGACAATCCAGTGAGAGATATTGAGAGAAATGATCAAGGCTGATGGGGTATGAGTCTGACCACCTGATGTACCAAGTACAGATGTAAGTTGGAGACCAGTTCTAATCTGAAATCTCCACAGGGGGCTGGTTGGTTGGTTGGATGGTTGGTTGGTTGTTTAACGCCGCACTCAGCAATATTCCAGCTATATGACAGCAGTCTGCAAATAATCAAGTCTGGACCAGACAATCCAGTGATTAATATCATAAGCATCGATCCACACAATTGGGATACCATGACATGCATCAACCAAGTCAGCAAGCCTCACCACTCGATCCCGTTAGTCGCCTTTTACAACAAGCAGAGTCACCTTTTACGGCAAGCATTGGTTGCTGAAGACCTATTCTACCCCGGATCTTCGCGGGTCTTCTCCACAGGGGGGAGAGTGATGACTAAGTGAGAAAATGGGGGAAGGATGTTTGCTTGTTTGTTTGTTGTTTAACGCCGCACTCAGCAATATTCCAGCTATATGACGAACAGTCTGTAAATAATAGTCTGGACCAGACAATCCAGTGATTGACATCATGAGCACTGATCAACGCAATTGGGATACAATGATATGTAGCAACCAAGTCAGCGAACCTGACCACCCAAATCCTGTTAGTCGCCTCTTATGACAAACATGGGTTGCTGAAGACCTATTCTCTACCCGCACCCCCTCTGGACCCCCCTGGACCCTTCCTATGGATCTGCCTATGCAGCCATTATCCTCACTATGGCAAGTTCACCCTGATTATGTTTCTAGTATTGTATGCATGCTCATGGGTTTCACCAAAGCGGTAAACATCTAAGACATGCATCACTTCCGGCTTTCCTCTCACATCAAGCTGACACGCCGTGATATAACTGGAATACTGTTCAAAACAGCATTAAACCCAACTCACTCACTGGTAACAAGTGTTTAAAAGCCAACAACTAGATGACTAGCTGGAAGATGACACATGAAGCAAGTAGACCATGGCTAACCACCACCTCCCAGTACCCACGGAGATACCTTCACAGCCATGTCACAGTGGAAGAAGCACAAGTAAAATCACTGACACATGCTGATCATAACTTCCTGGGGAAATCATACTGGTGAGACCAGTTGACACATTCCACAACGCTAAACACATGAAAAGAGGAAAGAAATGTAATCTGAAGAGCACTATTTATCTTATTCCGCCAACTGCATTGGGCATGCCAGGAACCTATGATTGTGGGTTCGAATCCTGGTTCGCTCCGATTATGTTTCTAGGTTTGTCAGTACCATACCTGTGCTCGTGGGTTTCACCGAAGTGGTAAACGTCTGAGACCTGCATCACTTCAGGCTTTCCTCCCACATTTAGCTGACAAGCCGTGATATAACTGGAATACTGTTAAAAGCGGCGTTAAACCCATCTCACTCACTCACCCTGACCAGGATTTTTCATTACAAAATCTGTCAACTATGAATGGAGACAAGGGTCATCAGGAGATGACATATTCCCCCTGGTCTGGTGCAATTTGGAAATGGAGTTTGGCTACTATACCCCAATATCGGTTCATTGTAATTGGAGACCTTGAGTTCCGTGAAGAAAAAGATAATGCTGTTCAGGATTTTTCAATATCCCAGATCATCAAAAGGCACAAGTTCACCACTAGACTGATCTGTATAGCAAGTTTCATCAAGAAATATTCTACGGTTTTGGAGCTCTGCTCCATTGGAAGATGAAATAGGCCTGCATCATCACAAAGTCTGCCAGTATTTTACTGATCAAGGAATACAATTTTGTAAGGAGTCCCTTTTCCCAGGTTGATTGCACAACTTTTTATTTGGTTACAGAACTGTTTATTTGGTTACAAACTGAGTTTGAACAACCCAAAACAAAAAACAAAACAAAAAGACAGCCTGCCCACACTATATTTTCAAAAACATTTGCCTGAGAACCAATTTATTTTATTAAGCCTTACATACAGTAAAATATCACAGTTCATACCCGACTATGGTTAGTTGCTGAAATAGTCTATGCAGAACTCTAGACAATATGAGCCTGATAAATTTGATGTAAAATATGGACTGCACATCACTACCTGTCAAACCATAAGAGCATGAATGTAGAAAGAATTCTTCAATTAGAAGATCATTCATCATCCTCGACAACCCAGGTGATCATATATCCCGGCCTTCCTATCTATCGGAGTGAAATGAAGAAAATCGGAACTAATTACTGGCGAATTTGGTATAAGGCAGCATTATTTGATAAGAAGGTCATAAAACTGTGAACACAATGAAATATTAAAGGACATAAAGTCATCAGCAGAGGAACACATGCACAACTGCTAGCGGACCAGCGATACGATTGCAATAGAAACATGTCATTCACTTCCGTGAAAAAAATACCTCAGCCGAGCTATGACACCATTTCCGAAATTGCAACGAGAAGAAATGGCACATAAACAACAAACCAGGCTTTCTAATCAAGTAAACAAACAGATTTCAGACCTCTTTGTGAGAGACCATATCAAGGCTGTATAACAGTATACGGCGTCAGTCTTTGTCTCTAACATCAAGGAATTATCTCGGGTGTATTCAGTCAAATCATGGATTTTCTGTAAGATCCTTATATTCAGCTTGCTTGCTTGTTTGTTGCCACACTCAGCAATATTCCAGCCATATGACGACGGTCTGTAAATAATCGAGTCTGGACCAGACAAACCAGTGATTGACATCATGAGCATCTATCTACGCAATTGGGATACAATGACATGCATCAACCAAGTCAGCGAGCCTGACCACCCAACCATGTTACTCGCCTCTTACAACAAGCATTGTCGCCTGTTATGGCAAGCATGGGATGCTGAAGATGTATTCTCTATCCACGTCTTCACAGGGATTTCAATGCAATAAAGTCCAACCAAGTTATATATCCTTAATTCGAAATTTGAGAATTGTTACCAACATTTGCTGCAGAATTTTATTGCCCACTGAGGATGCAGAGAGAATCAAGATAAATCTCTGATCATGTTAAAAATAAACAAGAATAACACTTAATTAGGACAGATTTCATTTAATACATTCTTACAAATCAATATTATCACAGATCAGCAGTATGCCACTTTCAGCAATATTCCAGTAACATCATGGCGGCAGGATGCCAGAAATGGTCTTCACACATTGCAGCCATATGAAGAATTGAACTCGGGCCTTCTGTGTGACAAGCCAATGCTTTAACCACTAGACTACCCAACTGCCTGTCAATTTATGAATGATTTGTTTGTTTGATGTTTTCTTGTTTAACGCCACAATCAGCAATATCACGGTCCCCTCAAGGACATGGTGTTGACATCCCAAGGATCATAATCAGTGTTCAAAATAAGTGCTTGCCCATAGGCCTGTGGCAGGTAGATCTTGTGTTGGGCCCATAGTTTCAAATTTATATGTGTCCTTATGGCTTGAAGTAAAGTTACTTCAATAATCAATATATTTGTCATAATAAGCCGAATTTTTTTTTTAAATGGGGACCTGAATTTAGTCAGGTCCTGCAGTTTCTAAAGTCTATGGATCCTGATGGCAGCCTGGCAATTTGTTTTATTTCAAACACTGATCATAATCAAAATATATCTGCGGTTTTATCATTGCAAGTGAGTGAGTGACACTGCTTTGTACAGCTCTGCATTTACCGACACATCAGTCATTCAAACTGCAGTCCACTTTCAGAGATGGTAAAACATACTGAATGACCAGACATTTTCTGCCTTGATGTGAAAATGGACTTTCCCCCAGTCACATCTTTTTCCAACATCAACCATTTCCCAACAAATTTATTCCATACTTTCCCCAAATATTCTGAAAAGTTCGAGTTGTCACCCTTATGTTTCGATTCCCCAAAAGGAGATGCATTATCTCCCTTGTCAAAGTCTCTTAATTTAGCTTTGAACACAGCTGCTTTCGTAGCCATGACAACCAGATTATACTTCTTGGCAATTGTTTGAAGTATGTCCACAATTTTATTCATATTTTTTTCATGAGCTGATCCCCCGTCACCATGGTTACATCTGTCTATCCAATAGAAAGCTGAGATGCTGTCGATCATGATACCCGCAAAGTCCGAGTCGGCAGCAATATTTGTCTCCAAGCTGTGAAGTGTACACAGCAGTTGATGACTGCTATTGCATCGAACAAGATACAGCCTCTTCAAGCATTTTGTAATAAATACTTCAATCTCATCACTGGATGGTTTTGTTTCATCCACTTCTGTATTTACAATGTCTGTGATTTTTTTTTCGAGCAAGATAACTAATCGCAAGATCGAGAATTTGTAATCTGTGTCGATGAATATGACCTTGGTTCCCAGTCCGCCAAGGTCAAATGTCAGCCACTCTGGAGGCAGAATACACTTGGCGATACAATGAAGGAGAACTTCGGACTTCCCTGTTCCTTCTGCCCCAAACAGTTCCACCACCTCGCCTGGAGAGAGTCCATTGGGAAATAATTTGGGTTCTACCTTCTCTAAACTTGGCCGGGACCCGAGTCGAGCAAGGAGCTGAAAAATGGGCAAAGGACTCATTATTTTGAACAAAACTGCAATGATATCATGTTGAAGGTTTATCATACCCCTGTTATAAGCCGAGAATAAATTCATCTTGTTAGCTTTCTCTCGACATGAGTGAGGGAGTGGTGTGTGCTTGTACTAGTCCAGACTAATGTTGGTTTTATAGTGCGAGCTCACTCAGATACCATGCTACAGCTTAACAAGTATATACATAGAGTTCCATGCCAAATTAAGAGACTTAAAACCACAAACATTGACACTGGAGAAAATGTATCCAATTTCAAAACCAGTGGCTAACAGTGTGAACAGAATCCACAACAGGGTCCCGATCCAGAGGGATATAGCACTTAGATGATTGTAACTCCCATACTTTAACATGGTCTTACTGTCGTCGTAGTGCAATAAAGATAACTTTCTGGAATGGGGCCATGTGTAGATGTGATTTCTACAAGAGTGTTGGTGTATTGTCATCTGGACCACCAACACTGGACACATAATAAATAACCAAAAATTTTATTTTCATAAACTTTGCATTGAACAAAAATAAATCCATGTTAAATTCAATCATATAAAGTTACCTAGGGAAAACAACTTTTCTGCAGCACTTCTCAGGACAGTTAGGCTGATGATATAGTGAAACGGAAACAATTCTGCACACTTAACCTGTCAATCAAATTTCAAATATAACACTCAATTTAAATATTTGTAAAAATTTGCTCATTCCACATCGTATTTAAGTATTACATGTACACATAATTTTTTAAAACTTGTAGCTAGAGGATACGATTTTTACAAATTTGGAGGCAGGGGTTACGACCTACAGTCCAGACGGATGTTTTTCCATATTCTCTATGTAAACCTATATGTCAATCCTAATTAAATTAATACAGTGCAGTTATTTAAATAGACTACACGGAAGAAGCAAAATATGATGACAGCAAACGGAAACATTGTACCAGACATAAAATAGGCTAATACAAATATGATAGGCAAGTCAACAGCTGGCCAAGAATGCAAATTTCCCTAGGGCAGGATAACGGTAAAAAGGAAGACATTTGAAACAACTCGTTCGTCATACTATTGAAAGCCTTGACATATATACCTGAGCCCCACTTTCCGATTTTGACATACTTTTCTGTCTCGCCCACATGTCAAGTCACGAATGGTATGCACATAACCATTGAGATGGGCGGCTGCACCCTCAAAACTGCACTCAAATGTCCCTCCTTTACCATGATACTACTTTCCCTACGACCTCTCACATACCAAAACTAGCAACTGCGCCTGTTGTGGAGAACTATGAAAATATGTCTGATGTCTTTAGTTGATACAGTTTACCATCTTTGTTCACCTGTTTGAATACTATGAGAAAGATTGGGAAGATTGTGGAAAAGGTTAATCTTAAAAATGAGTTTTTGAAAAAGTTATTTCGTGAATAATAATCATTTCAGACTTGACCTTGTCGACGCATGTAACCATTGTATGTTGCAGTATGAAGTTGTTTATTATTGTGTACTGATTGCATTGAGGAACACGGGGAGAGAGAGAGAGAGAGAGAGAGAGAGAGAGAGAGAGAGAGAGAGAGAGAGAGAGAGAGAGAGCACAGAAGTGGGTTTCATACATTTTACTCTTGTAGGGAATCGAACCCGGGTGTTCGGCGTGAAGGATGAACTACGCTTTAACCACACTAGGCTACCCCACTGTCCCTACTTTTTATTTTAAATCAACCAAGTGATTAATTTCTTCAATTAACAAGTACCCTTATTCCATGTAATCCCCCTAGCGGTTCTAATGTTTCGACTTGCGCGGATAATTCAATCAAACCGTAACAACATTTTCTTAGGATGTAATAATAATGATGATGAGGATGATTTATTTATTTATTTATTTATTTATTTATTTATTTATTTATTTATTTATTTATTTATTTATTTATTTTACATTAGAGCATATACAGTGTGAGACAATTTTAATAAACAATATATATGTCCTTTACACAAGTCGCAACCGCATTGCTTTCTAAGTAAATGTATCTAAGTTTTAAACAGTGGGTTCATCACAAAACGTACAACTTTATGGATAACAACTTCTGATTTGTTGCACATGGCGACTTTTCGGTGTATATTAATCTGCTTATCACAGCAGATCTTGCATATATACCTCCCTTCACTTGTAGTCACTCTAGCTTGATAACGGTGTAAAAATCTACATCGAAACGTCGCTTAAATGCAATAAATCAGAAGTTGTTATCCATAAAGTTGTGCGTTTTGTTATTTACTCTGCAACTTCTAGAATGATAATCAAACAGTTAGTAGACACATCATTTGAAGCCCTCAAAACATGAAACTTATATAATGTAGGGTAGAAACACAATTTATGTTATTTACATCTCAAATGGTGATAGCGGGTACGAATTAGGACATTTCTGGCTTTCAACAGACAGTCTGACGCCCTGATAACATGAATGAGAGAAATCGTGACACGATAACAAGTAAACGTGAAACATACGAAATAACAATTTCAGTTCACCATGTGTAATTTGTTCAACAGAGATTGTTTCATTTCAGCACAATAACGATTAATCGTTGGGGGAATAGTTTTTTACCTGCCTGTCAGAAGCGCATGCGTTTCAGACTGGGAAATGCAATTTTAGCTGGAGTAAACAGACAGTTTCCGGTCAACTTTGTCTTAGATTTACTAAACTTGTTGGGTATTTGCACCCTCAAAGCTGCGTGCATTTACTAGCTTTCTGTTATTTGATTTTGTTGACACCAACAGAATGGTGACACAGATTGACTTTATTTTGTTTGCCGAGCAAGGCTGGATGTGTTGCTCCTGACTTGAGACTCCTAATCGACAATGGCAGGCAGAACGCAACAACCGCCCCGCCGGAGAAAACGAGTGCAAACTCCTGTTTTCAGTAGTATAGTTGGCTCATATGAAGACAAAGACAACGATTTTGTCTGGTAAGACTTTATCCTATCTGATTTGCATGGAATGTCCTGCATAGGAATTCTGTACAACTTTCTTCCCCCCCCACCCCCCTCGGTCACTTTCTACACCTGTGTTCAGAAAGAACCCCTAAGTTTGTTTGTTTCTTTATTGTTTGACGCCACACTCAGCAATATTCCAGCTATATGATGGTGGTCTGTAAATAATCGAGTCTGGACCAGACGATCCAGTGATTGACATCATGAGCATCGATCCACGCAATTGGGATGCAATGACATGCATCAACCAAGTCAGCGAGCCTGACCACCCGATCATGTCAGTCGCCTCTTACCATGCTTACGTCAAGAATTGCTTGCTGAAGACCTATTCTACCCTGTATCTTCACGGGTCAGAGAACCCCTATGGCAGGGAATGTATGACAATAATGGCTTACCGTTATAAAACTTCTTCATGGAATTCATTGCTAAGAAGAATGCATTTTGTTTTCTGTGCATGAGCTGTTTTCTGCTTGGATTAATGCATTTAACTTAACACCTTACGCCATTTGTGCACAAGCTCCTGCCTTAGTAACGGTTTTAAGTTTATCATATGTCATTTTTGCCAAATCGTCTAAGGTGCCGCGATTCGCTGTGCAGAGTTGCGTCCCTTGGGCATGCCAGAAACCTATGTTTGTGGGCTTGAATCCCAGTTCGTCCCGATTATGTTTCTAGGTTTGTCAGCACCATACCCGTGCTTGTTGGTTTCACTGAACATGCTGAAGTGGTAAATGTCAGACCTGCATCACTTCGGGCTTTCCTCCCACATTAAGCTGACACGCCGTGATATAACTGGAATGCTGTTTAAAGCGGCATTAAACCCAACTCACTCACTCACTCAGTCACTCATGTCATTTTCAGCCACCTCGCAAATAAAATGGTGTTTCTTCAAATTTGGCCCGAGGGATGTCACTGTTGAGGTTATGGGACGCCATTATGGAACTTCTGTTTTTCGATGTTGATGCCCAATTTCGTTCTTTATGAATTACTTTGATATTTAGTTTCATGGTATCAAACATACAAATGCTAATAGAGGGCCTACCTGTTGCATGTTTAGAATTCAGCACCACAAAATTTACAAACACGTCACGATACCATATGCAATACCCTATGATATACATGATATAAAAATTTGTGAAATTTTGTTGTAAGATATAAGCAGTGCAGTGGTCTAAGGGGGTTCTAACTCCTTCTCATGCATTTTAAAGCACTGGAGACGAAGCGTGCCAATAGATGCACTGGTCAGGGTATCCATGTTTATTCCACCCAAGGTACTTGCACTCGCTATGTTTGCTAAGTAACGATTCAAAAGCTGACACATCGTGGCATCATTACTGTAATAGCCATGCCTTTGCTGTCCTTGTTGCTCACTATGATCCACCTTACCTTTAAAATGCCTTCCCCGAAAGTTTTCTGTCATAAGATCATCAAACAAATGATTATTTACCCTGTCATTCATCATGTTCATGCATATTTGTAAACACGACTGACATCTGGAACCGTTTTCATTCTCTCTCCCCCTCCCCTTATCAGCTCATTCCTTACCACTCAGTGTCTTGTAGATTATGGAATGGTACGAGAGTGTTACAACTAATGTGGTCAGGCTCACTGACTTGGTTGATGCATGTCATTGTATCTCCCTATCCCAAATGCGTAGACTGATGCACCTGATGTCAATCACTGGATTGTCTGGTCCAGACTCGATTATTTACAGACCACCGTCATGTAGCTGGAATATTGCTGAGTGTGGCGTTAAACAACAAACAAAACAGACTGTTTTTCTCTAGCCATTGATTTAGGCATGACTTGGTAAATTTGCTCTTAGTGCGAATGTAGCTGTTGGTTATGAAACTGAACAATCTTGAGTTTGAGACTGATTTCTAAAGGTACTCGGGGCGGTCGGGTAGCCTAGTGGTTAAAGCGTTCGCTCGTCAAGTCGAAGACCCGGGTTCGATTCCCGACATGGGTACAATGTGTGAAGCCCATTTCTGGTGTCCTCCGCCGTGATATTGCTGGAATATTGCTAAAAGCGGCGTTAAACCATACTCACTCACTCACTCTAAAGGTACTCCTTGGAGAAAGTTTTGCTTATATTGAGCTTTATGCAGAGATGCAAACTCAAACGATTTAGGCGTAAACTTTGCAGAAACATTGTTAACATCTTCTGAAATTTGTTATCATGTATTATTATTACCATCCACCAGTGTACACAGATATCCTGTGTTCCTTACGGATGAGACCGCCTCTGTGGTGTAGAATGTCTTGAGAGTGCAAGGTGGATGGTTCAATCCCCGACTGTGTTATACCAAAAGATGTTATAGATGTTACTTTTTGTTACCCTGCCTGGCTCTTGCCATTAAGGGAATAAAGCAAGGACAGGTCGGCTTGGAGTCAGTTTGCTGTGTCTCAGTGGGGTATCCATATTTAACTGCAGCGTTGTATCCCAGTGGGCTAGCACTATCGACTGGACTAGCATGACTAGTACAAGCAGCCATATACAAGCCTGCATGCTCATTGCTATATAAGTGCAATAATCTTGAACAGGACTTTAAAGCCGGTTTTACCTGACTTTACACATGACCATGATGAGGATAAAGTCTCCTCCTGCATACAAACCCTTGTCTTTGTCTACCCACACTGGGACCATTGAAGCATGTTAAATATACATCACTCAGTTCAGGGTGAAGACATGAGCTGATGTGCTTTGGTGCTTTACTCTCTCAGACTCATACAGCTTGTTGTAAGAGTCATCTAATTTGTTGATAATGTGATAAGAGGCATCTGTTTTATACAACCAACCAGGTGAGGGGAACATAGAGGTGCAAACATATTGCTGTAGACATGACATAGATCAGTGAGGCAAGAGAGGGAGATGCTGTTCACATCAATGAGTCTCTAGAAACCATGCAGTGCCCCCACTAGGGTAGCTTGTTGTGGTGAATCACTTGTTTTTTCAATGCTATGAAAAGTTGTATTATCTGAAATACACTGAATTTCAAGCTGGTTGTTTTAAGGTGTCAAGCTGGAGTAAAGAGTGACTGAGGTAGTTTGCTTTGTGCCCGTCAGCAATATCATGAATATTACAGACTTTGTATTCTAGTAGTAGAGCGTCTGCTCAGAGAACAGAAGGTCCGGGGTTAGATCCCCGGCCTCGTCATACCAAAAGACATTGAAAAATGGTATTTGTTGTTACCCTGCCTGTCGCTTGGCATTGAGGGGGCTAAAACTAGTACTGGTCAGCTAGGAGTCAGTATACTGTATCTGAGTGGTGTATTCATGTTAGTTTGCGGCACGGTATCTCGGTGGGCTAGAACTATAAAATCGGCATTAGTCTGGACTAGTACAAGCAACCACTCACACACACATGTGCATGCACATCGCTATATAAGTGCAATAATCTTGAACGTGACGTTAAATCCCATTTCACCTCACCTCACCTCACCTCACCTCACCTCACCTCACCTCACCTATCATTGTATCAACAGCTGATAACATCATGGAAAGTCCTTATGCCTTTTGTCACTGTTGTAGGAAGAGATCCTCCTACGTTTGTAGGAGCAGTTTAAATGGGGAGTGGGTAGTGGTCGCAGTGTGTGTTATCGAAACCTGACAATGTGATTGTTGCTCATGCTGTCAATCACTGGTTTGTTGGCCCAGATTTGATTAGAGCTGTGGCAGGGCTGTGATATTGGTGACTGTGGGAGAATAGGCCAAAGGACCTCGTAACACAGTCCCTGGGTGTGCCAAGGACTTGTGATTGTGGCTATGCTGTTTGTGGTACAGAATTTATGTTCTTACCATTTGTGTAATTCACTAGCACTAGGCTCCAGACAGACATTTGGAAGCCAGTGATTACTCATTGAACATTATTCAACCCTCTCATATGATAAATTGGTTCTATTGTTCAAGACATTGAGCCATGCTTGAGACAGTCGCAGTGCATCGTGCTCATTTGGTGTTCATTGTGAATTTAAGTTCTGTCGCGGACGTAACTGGTACGCGAGACGGCTCTGCCGTCTCTTGTACGCGAAACGGGTGCGGTCCGCAGTACTCAGTGAAGCGCTTCATTCTAATTTATTCAATCACCGTGGCTGTGCTGTCACCCGCGACCTCCGCGAAAGTAATTAAAGCGCTATGTTAAATCACCCACTGCCGAGAGAGCCTTCAATCCACCCAATGTCGTGACTGGCAGGTCGCGTGTGCATCGAGGCATCCGCCTTCCAATCTTCACATACCCTATTTTCGAACAGTTAAGACATGTCAACATGTCATTCTGGACTGGATACACTTGAAAGTGTACATGTCGAAGATAGCGACCAGTTATCGTCATTTTTTGCTGACTGAAAAGAAAGTTGGCATCAGATTTCTGGTTGTAGTTCACTTTGAAAGCAAAGGCTTTAATAAGAAGTTTTAAATGTTGAAAGTATATGCCATGTATACCCTTTCCAAATTAGCATGAACATTGAATTAATAGTATGAGGGGTGTTGAAAATCAGTGCCTTACTTGCCAGACTCAATGTTGAATCACCAGACAAAAGAAAATCAGTTCCAGTTGCCTGTGTACCTTAAAATTTAGAGGATTGATTGTCAATTTTGATAAAATATTATACAAGTACTAAATATAGCCTTCTTGTATCTCTCAGTGATAATTATTTGCATCCATTCTCAATTGGTATTGGACACACTATTTTTCAGGTGGCAGATCCCTGAATGTCTGTATCTCTTTGTGATACACATGTGACTAATTCTGAGTGTGACTCTCTGTAAAGTTAGGTTGTGACAATTGTGTAGCAATAGAGAAGTCTATCATCAATGTAGTGAACTTAAATCTCATTACGATCTGAAGTTTTACAATGCCTCTCTTCGTCAAGATCTGACACACCTTCACCATGTCCACAAGGTTGCCTCCACATCTCTTACAAGGTCACGTCAGGTAAACCTTAGTGACCTTTGACTGCCCGATCAATATGAAGGATATG